CGGCTGTCTATGGCACATTGCCGGTAATTTTCATTAAATTTCACAATTTCCCTGTACTTTAAATGCAGATTTTTCCGTTTTCCGACATTTTCATAATAATTTTCACATTTTATTAACATTTTCCCACAAAATACGAGCAAAAGTTGCAAAACTTCAACAAAATGTAATCACGACTAAGTTGTAGTTGTCAAAAAATGCCAAGAGGGGAGCTCAATGGATGAGAGACAAGAGAGAACTGACAATTTGGGGGCAAAAGAGATCACAATGAGAGCTTGCTTTATAAAAATAATTGTCAGTATTTGTATTACAGTCGTATTTATTGTTCTTTTATTATTTTATTTTTTTAAATAGGATTTTTGTTTTTATGTACGACAGGGATCTTCTAATTAATTAAATTAATTTATTCCTATTAAACTTTTAGTTTTTCCCATCTCCCCAAACAAATTTCTCCTGTGTCTCTCTCATTTTTTTATATGGCTCCATAACTGAACGACTCTCGCGTTGTACTTTTGACACCGGCACTCAGTTGTCAATTACATTTCGGTACGTTGTCAAAGTTTTTGCGCGTTCTTTTAACAAATTTCATGAAAAAATGTAAAAATGAATATGAAAATGCAATAAAATAATAAATTGTATCATTGTCAAATGTGCCATTGGAAAATTTTAAAATTTCAATGAATATATGCGAAAAATAAAGGAAAAAAGTTATATTTGGTGGCTTGTTGTCCCCCCAGTGTCTATTGTGTGAGTGTAAATGTTTGTGTTTTTAATTTGCCAAATACCAATTGCGTCCAATTGGAAAATAAATTTAAATGTGATCCCAAGAATCGTGGAAGTGAAATATGGCCTGAAGAAAAAAATATATAATGTAAAAAAATCTATAAAAATAAAATATTTTTATTGTGATTTGCAGTTTTGTTTTCCCCACATCTCCCTCAACAAATCTCTCTACGGCCTCTCATTTTTTTACATGGCTCCATAACTGCCCCTCTCTCGCGTTGTATTCTTGACACCGACATTTTGACACTGTCAAAGTTTTCGCGCGTTTTTCTAACAAATTTCATAAAAAAATATAGAAATTCACATGGAAATGCAATAAAATAATAATAATAAATTGTATCCTTGTCAAATGTGCCATTGGAAAATTGTGAAATTTCAAAGAAAATCTTCGAAAAATAAAGGAAAAGCGAAAAAGTGGTTATATATTGTGGCTTGATGTGTTTTATTTGCCAATTAATTTTGTTCAATTGGAAAAAGCGTAAAATGTGATCCCTAGGATCAAGGAAATGTGGAATAGGGCCTATTTAAAAAAATTATAGTGTACAAATCTGTAAAAAAATTGATTGTGGTTTCCAGCTAATATAATTATTGTATTTTTTCATCCATTTACAGAAATCAAACTTAGTTCGTTAAGTGATGCATATATTTAAGGGCCACATAGCGGATGCGCTTCATTGGGAGTTGGCCAAGCTGGGTAACTGTTGTAAAGAGTATGAGAAAGATATAAAGTGTGTTATGATCATACCATCATATGATCATATTCCAAGGTGGATAGCATGCAATAATGTGTGGGGTTTTGCCGACCTGTATAAATTAACTGTGTTTTTCCAAAAGATACACTAGAGTATCTCAAGACGTTACGGGTAGTAAGCATTGGGCATCGGTAGTATGCTTGGGCAATCAATGCCACAGTAGAATTTTTTATTTTAACATATTCTATGATATCCAACGGATTTATCAAACTATTTGCATTTAAGGGACCCACCCATTTCCCGGTTTAAAATTTGATGCTTTATTCAGCCTTATGGCTAATGAGTGTATATACACTTTGCTACTCCAATGTGCCTCATTCTTTCCACACAATTTGAAGTCGATTTATAAATGTCCGCACTTGTGCGCACGATCACTCACAAAGGGAGTAACCGATTTAAACTTTGCACCTCACAATATTTCTATCAAACTTAAATTAAGTTCGAAGATGGGGAATATCTGTCCTCTCCTTCTAGTATCTCTCACACAAAAAGTTCAACATTTAGCAGAAAAATTTGTTTTGTAATATCATGCGAACGGACTATTCGATTTGAGCCTAATTTTGCACAGCCTAATATTTTAATCATGCCTGTATAATATATAAATCCAATATATGGCGAGTGGAATGTCCGATTTGACCCGAACTTTACACATTGTATGTAATTCTTTCATTAAACCTAGATCATGTCCGAAGATAAGACCTATCAGTTTACGCCTTTTGGTACCTCAAAGTTTCAATATTTTGAAAATTTGTTAATTCCATACCAATAGATTTATGACAGTAATGTGTAATACGATTTATGTATGGAATACTTTTACCAAATCTTGATTGAATCCAAAGATGGAACCTTTCGATTCACTCATTCTGGTACCTTCTACACAAAGTATCAAACAAATTTGAAAATTCGTTAATTCATTACCAAGGGAATTCAATGTCCGATTTGAGCCAAACTTTACACATCGTAATACTTTTACTTGACTTGATCGTGTCCGAAAATGAGACCCAATTTGTTAATTTAATATCAACCAAATGGAATGTTCTACTTAATCCAAACTTTGCAAATCGTAATACTTTTAACAATTCCACATAAAGTCCGAAGATTGTACCCATCGATCCACTTCTTCTGGTACCTCCACCGCAAGGTGTCAAAATTTTGAAAACTTGCACGTCTCATATGAAGCGAACGGAATATCCAATTTCATGGAAAATTTGCACATCGTAATATGTTTATCTCAGCTAGATTATGTCCGAAGATGGGAACCGTCCGTCCTCCCCTTCTAATAATACATCCCCCAAAATATGTCAAAATTTTGAAAATTCGTTAATTCAATACGAAACGAATATCGTAATACTTTTACCAAACCTAGATCATGCCTGAAGATGGGACCCTTCGGTCCCCTCGAAAATTTGTTATGTTCAATATTGACCGTATGGAATATCCGATGTGAACCAAGCTTTGCAAATCGTAATACTCTTACCAAAACAAGATCATATTTGAAGATTGAACCCATCATTCCTCACCTTCGGGTACCTCCCTCACAAAACGTCAAAATTTAAAAAAAATTGTTTTTTATATACCAAACGAATGCAATGTGCGATTTAATTAAAACTTTACGCATCGTAATACTTTTACCAAAACGTTGATCCGAAATGGGATTCATCGGCCGACTCCTTCTAATACCTCACCTGCAATGTGTCAAAAATTTAATAGAAATATCACCCAAATTGAATGTCCGGTTTGATCCAAACTCTGCACATCATAATATTTTTACCATGGCTAGAAAAAGTCCGAAAAACATTCAAACATATATTTCTATGAAGCAACCTCTTGTGGTACCTCTTCACAGATGGGAAGATGCTCAACTATTTGATAAAAACATATACCGTATATAAAGAATAATAAAACGAATGTGTAGTAATTCCGTAGGCTTCCGAAAACCATTGACTGGGGGTATACGACTGTCGGCCGTTTATTAATGATTTTGTGGTCTATTAAAAATTAGCTTCATCCTAATGTCTTCGTAACCCATTTCAATGTTTGTCTCTTCTTTGAAGATTTTAAAATTATCAAATTTCTAGGTATTCAGTGTATTTGTACAAATCCCTGGTGTTTAGTTCGCATATATGAAATCTTTGGTCTTCAAGCAACGTATAAATAACCCTATCCTTGTATATAACACCTTCTGTATATAATTGCTCCCTGGATTTCCTCCTTCAGATCTTTAGCATGTCTTAATCCACGGTCTTCACCTTCTACATAATAGCTCACAAGTCTTCAGTTCATTCGGTTCATCTATAAAAACTCCTTGGTCTTCAGTTCGCATATATAAAATCTTTGGTCTTCAAGCCACTTATAAATAGCCCTTGCCTTGTATATTATACATTCTCTCTTCACCTCCTCCATAAAAGACTCATTTATAAAAACTCTTTGATTTTTATATAAAAATTTCCTATCGTTCAGTTGGTCGTCTATAAAACTCCATGATCTTCAGCTTATTCGGAGGCTGTATATAGGCAAGCTGAAGGTCTATTGTGTTTGCAAGGGTCATTAAATAAATAATTTCTGTCTTTCAATTCATCTGTAAAAACACCCAATGACTTCAGAAGATCTACAAAGTTCCCATAACCTTATATGACCTATAAATACACCAAAATTCAGTTCGTTTATAAAGACTTTTCGATACCGTCTACATGCTAAATCAATCTTGATTTTGTCAGTCATGATTTATTTCTCAAGTCTTCATCTTTTCAATAACGATTTTTTATGCCCGCTTCAGCAGACGCCATGGTCTCCACGGTATCCACGTACTCCCTAGACTTCAGTTATTCTATAAGATTTCAGCTAGTCTATAGAACCTTGTAGTCAGTAAGCATCCAACTCATGTGTAATTTTTAAATTACTTCCCAAAGCCACTCAAGAATCCAACGCTCTATAAAAGCCGCTATTCTGCTACCTCTAGTTTCAACTCTTTTTTATTAAAACTGCCCAGCCTTCAACTTGTCTATAGTGTCTCCCTGGCCTTTAGCTCTATACATTCTTCCTCATACACGCTATTTTGGAAATTATACAAATTTATAACTTTTTTCTGCTATACAAATTCTTGTTTTTTATTGAGATACAACATGGAATGAGGTTAACATTTTTAATATTTTTTATTTATTTCATAGTAAACTTTATTCCACATACGGACATCGTCTATGGTTTTATGGAAAATAATTAAAAACCTTGCACATACCATTTGACGACGATATCCAATTATGAATATAGTTTATTGAAAATATGGAATATTTAAAAAAAAAATACATACAAACATATAAATGTACATATATTTTAGCTATGAGTGTTTAATTAGTATTTAGTTTTTTTTTTAAGTAAATAAAGTTTCAATTTTTTTGGTAACAATTCACTGGTACATTGTTGCTAGGTTAGTCATTTTGGTGTGTTAGTGTGAGTGATGCATTCTTTCTTTTAGTCATCTCTTGGTTGTGGATAGAATTGTGTTAAAGTCTTGGCAATTTCCTGAGCCAATTCAGGCGATGAGGCAGCCAAAACGCGACGAGCCATCATATCAAATTCTCCACCGGCGGGATCAATGACAACACCACCCGCCTCGCGTACAATAATATCTCCGGCACAGACATCCCAGGCATGAATGCCAAATTCATAGTTAGCATCGGCTGCACCCAAGGCAACCATGGACATATTGAGGGCCGCTGAACCCAAGACACGTAATCTAAAAAAAAACACAAATTAGAAAAAGAATTTAAAACATACAGCATAATGCAGGTCTTATGGAAAAACTATACATAAAGATAGGGAAATCTCAAAATATGATCATATAGGCATTAGATACAAATTTTGAACATTTTTGTAATTATTATACCAAAAAAAATATTCGATATAACGGTGTTCGGCTAAAAACAATACGAGCTAGATTGTTGCCCTTAATTTTTTGGGTACAAATTATTTGGATTCTATGGAATTTGGTGAAACTGTATTGAAATACAAATCTGCACGTATTTGCCATCCCGGGTCTTCGTAAGTTATATATTTTATTTGCCTTACTTACCCATGAGCTTTGGCCGCCATTTTCTGGAAATTTTCATTGACCACCTTCATCTTTTCAGGATCTCGTGTTGTACCAAATTCACTGGTTATCAGCGCTTTGCTTAACTCCTTCTGGCCACTAACTTTTATCGGTTTACCATTATAGAATGCACCCTGACCACGACGGGCAGTGAAACGCTGCTGCAGCATTGGATTATAGACAATGCCCAATTCGGTTACTTTATTAACAACCAAACCCACAGAAATGCATGAATGCGGAAAGGCATGTACAAAATTCATTGTCCCATCAACGGGATCAATAATCCAGGTGGGTGCATCGGTGAGTTTTTTTGGTGCCCCCTCGGCACTACTTTCCTCTTCGCCAATGAATCTGAAATTGCAAAAATATTTTAATATTTTATTTTAGTAGATAAAATGAGAAGATCTTATGGTGGAAAAAGGACTTCTATAGATAGAATACCGTCTGTATGCCGTACGGTTTTTTATATACAGAAGACTTTCTCTAAACCTTTTATACACAAAAGAGCTTTTATATGTATTCTATACATAGAAAAACTATAGAAGGTCTTCTATAGTTCTTCTACACATAGTATACCTTCGATAGCTCTTGTATTCATAGTAGACCTTCTTCTATACATAGAGTATACGTCTTCTATACATAGAAAATCTTCTAGAAGTCTTCTATACCCAGAAGACCTTCTATAGGTCTTCTATTCATAGAAGACCTTCTATAGGTCTTCTATACATAGAAGACCTTGTATAGGTCTTCTATACATAGAAGACCTTCTATAGGTCTTCTATACATAGAAGACCTTGTATAGGTCTTCTATACATAGAAGACCTTGTATAGGTCTTCTATACATAGAATACCTTTTATAGGTCTTCTATACATAGAAGACCTCCTAGAGGCCTTCAATACACAGAATACCTTCTATAGATCCTTTATATAGAATACCTTGTAGAAGTTTTTTATATTCAGAATACCTTCTATACAAAGGTCTTCTATAAATAGAAGAACTTTCATATTTATTCTATACGTAGAAGACCTTCCACATGTCTTCTATACACAGAAGACCTTCCACAGGTCTTCTATACGAAGACCTTTCATAGGTCTTCTTTACGTAGAAGATCTTTCATAGGACTTCTGTGGGTCATCTATTCACAGAAGGCCATAAGATAAATAATCTTTTTTCTATACCAGTTAAAAAAATATACTTACTTATGATCTGGAAACTGTTCCTTAATCCCGTTCATCAATAGATTCTCGACTTCCTTGTCCGTTTCGGTAACCAAATCGATATCACCCTGTTTGCATACGAATTCTTGGCGTGTTTCATTGCGACGGGCTATAATCTAAAAAAATGTCGATGGAGGGTGGGAGGAAAAACATTTGCAAAAAAAAAACACACACACAAATCAATGATGTGCAGAAAATTCTTAATGAGTTCAGTAAACAATTGATAAGGTCTATATTTGCAATTCTACTCACAGCTCCTGCCTTGTTGACCAATTCCGACACCACTTCAAAACATTTGTCCAAATCTACGTTAACAGCAGTCTCAGCCATTTTACAAAATTGACGATAGCCAGACAGAAACTTCGATGCGTAGGGAGTAAATAACCGTCCTCTTCCAATCACCAACACGATGTTTTAATTTAAAAAATTGATTCGATTCAATTCCGACAGCAACAACAAACAAACAAAACCACTACCGGAAAAATTTTATCTAATTGAATTAATGCTAGGGTTGTTTAGTTCACAAAACATTCTCGAACTAATACCGGGGTAGTTCAATGTAATGACTTTGTGAAATGAACGTTCGGAACGATTTAGTTCGACACCAGGATAATAGCCTAGACAGACGACTGCCTTAATTTGAATTAACAGGCTTAATTCAAATTAACTTGTACATTATCGTCATTTTTAATGCACAAAATCAAACTGAATTTATACTGAATTAACCAATTTCAATATGGCAATGCTGTCGAAAATCAATTAATTGTTGTCAAATTTGTTTACGTTTACAAAAATAAAAAGTATAAATAAAGGAAAATTTCAACATTTTTTCAAATTGGGAGCTGTTTTGCAACATTCTAGCTGCTATTCTTCCTTTATGCCATGTATATATTCTTAAAGATCCAATCCCGAAAAATATTGGAAACGAATGCCAACGTCTTCAACATCTACATACAGACAAACAATTGTTTTGAATCAAAAAAATTGTTTTGTAAATACAGAAACTCTCGTCTGTCAGGGGTAAATATTAATTCAAATTAAGAATTTTTTAATGTAAATTAAGGCTGTCGTGTGTCTATGGTATAAGTCGAAAGCTGATATTCGAAATAAAAATTTAATTACGAATAGCATTAACACGAATAAAATATTTGTTTAAATTTAATTTTTTTATGTTAAATTGAATCATTTCTATAAATGTTTCTTTTTATTTTACAACAAGTAGGTATATTTAGATTTATTTTATGCTGGCAATACCGTACGAAAGAAACTTTTACACAGTTGCAAGCCATACGGCAACCTACATCCGTTGTGTCAGTTCGTAATTAAATGCGCCAAAAATTGGCTGTGTTGTGGAAAGTGTTCTATTAAAACGTTAAAATATAGTAAAAATTACAAAGACCAAATAAATAAAATAAAACTAATGAAAAATGTAAACTTCAGTTGAAATTTTTTTTAATAGAAATATGTAATTTATTTCAATTTTAAAATCATTATTTGGGCAATATGTTTCCCCTTGGCCAACCATTCACAATGTAATAATTTCTCCTTCACTGAACGTACTCTATCACTATCAAAATTGACAATCCAGCTAAACTATCGATAGTATCGTTGATGACAGTTCATAATTAAATGCGCTAAAAACGGTTGTTTGTGAAATGGTAAAATAAAGTGAAAATAACAAAGAATGTGATTATTTAATAAAACTGACAAAATTTCTAAACTTCAGTGCGAAGTGTTTTTGATAAGAATATCAATTTTGTTCTATAAAATCATGATATTGGCTATTTGTTTTCGCATTTAATACATAGAGAGGAAAGGCGTTGAAGAATAACGTCTCCCATACACAATGCAATCATTTCTCCTTCACTGAACGTACTCTACACTTTCAAAATTGACAATTCAACTAAACTATCGATAGTGATGACAGTTCATAATTAAATGCGCCAAAAAACGGTTGTGTTGTGGAAAGTGTTAATGTTAATTAATTAATATTAAATAACAAAGCAAATTGTTATTAAATGCAAATAATGAAAAATTTGAAAACATCAGTGCAAAGTTTTGTATTCAATAATATGAAATTTATTTCTAATAACATCATTATATTGGCAATTTATTTCCCCTTCAATACAAGAGAGAAAAGGAGTTGGAAATTAACGAATCTCATTGTCTATGTAACTATTTCTCAATCACTTAACGTATGACATTTGACAATTCAACAAAACTATCGATAGTATCGGCAACTGTATATCGGTGATGACAGTTCATAATTAAATGCGCCAAAAAACGGTTGTGTTGTGGAAAGTGTTAAAGTGAAATGTTAAATTATAGTGATAATAACGAAGCAAATTGCTATTAAATAAAACTAATGGAATGTACAATTATCAGTGAAATGTTTCTAAAAACGGATTATGTAAACCATAATACAAATTTTAGAAAATTTTAAAGGATAATTATACCCTCAGCCTTATGGCTAATTAGTGTGTATACACTTTCACACGGTGAAAATGTGCCTCATCGAAATATTGGTTCTAGACCCCATGTTTCTTTGGACCAAATCCGTTTCAGAAAATTTAGATTTCATCCGAACTTTGCCCATCTTATTATTTCTTCCAAACTTAGTTCAAATTCGAAGATGGGGAATATCGGTCCACTCCTTCTGGAACCTCCAATCAGGGGCTAGGTCTAAATGCGGCTATAGTTCACTACCGAACCTAACGTTCTAATTTTTTATCTCTCTATCCTCCGCAGTTGAAATGATTACAAAAGGGTCTTAGAACCAAACCCAAAACGCGCAACAAATCAGATAAATATTTTAATATAAAAAAGGGGGTATATGGGGACTACCCCAAAAAGGGGGCGAATATTAATAATTTTTGGTAGGGAGATTTGTTACCATATACCACTACAAAATACCAAATTGCAGCAAATTCGGTTGAAAACGGCGCTCAAGAACCCCAAAATACCGAAAATTGGGGGTACCCTTATATGGGGGCTATCCGAAAAAATGGACCTATATTCATAATATTTTGTGTAGAGATTTGGAAACTATTAAGAACTCAATGTACCAAATTTCAGCGTATTCGGTAGAAAAACGCGCTCAAGAACCCCAAAATACCAAAAATTGGGGGGTATCCGTATATGGGGGATATCCGAAAAAATTGACCTATATTTATAATTTTTTGTGGAGAGATTTTGTACCTATTAAGAACCCAATGTATTAAATTTCAGCGTATTCGGTTGAAAAACTCGCTCAAGAACCCCAAAATACCGAAAAGTGGGGGTACCCTTATATGGGGGCTATCCGAAAAAATGTACCTATATACATAATTTTTTGTAGAGAGATTTGGTACCTATTAAGAACTCAAAATACTAAATTACAGCCAATTCGGTGGAAAAATACGATCAAAACCCCCAAAATACTGAAAATTAGGAGGTACCGTTATATGGGGGCTACCAGAAAAAGTGGACCTATATTTATAATGTACCAATTTTCAGCGTATTCGGTTGAAAAACGAGCTCAAGAACCCCAAAATACCGAAATTTGGGAGGTACTGTTATATGGGAGCTATGCCTACACGTGGACCGATATATCCCATCTTCGAACTTGACCTGCCTGCAGACAAAAGACAACCCTATGCAAAATTTCAGCACCCTATCTCAATTCCTTCAGAAGATAGCGTGATTACAACAGACGGACGGACGGACAGACGGACGGACGGACGGAACGGACATGGCTAGATCGTCTTAGAATTTTACCCTGATCAAGAATATATATACTTTATAGGGTCGGAAATGAGTATTTCGATGTGTTACAAACGGAATGACAAAATTAATATACCCTCCATACTATGGTGGAGGGTATAAAAATATGCAATTTGTGTCCATTAAATCATTATATTGGCGGTTTGTTTCGCCATGAATACAAAAGAGAAAAGGGGTTGGAGAAAATTATCTCTCATTGTCAATGCAACATTTTTTCACTCACAGAAAATTGACAACCCACCTATGATATCGATAGAATCCGATGTTAACGGCTTTTTAAGGAAAGATAAGAGAAATGCAATGAAAAATAAGAATTTCATACCAATAATACAAACCAACAACAAAAAGATTAACTGCAATGTAAACTGGTGTATAACTCGCGAAATATGTACTAGAATGAAAATAAACTCGTCATGTGAATTGAAAACAAACTTCAATCTTTAATGATTCAAAAATTAAAAGAAATTGTTAAAATATATGTATGCTGAAAATAATGAAATAGTTGTGATTTCAAATCTATTATTAAAAAAAAAAAAAAAATATTTAATAACAAAATAATGCCAAATTTAAAAATTGAGCAATGGAAAAATAGCAATTCGATTTTATTGCGCAATGCCAAATTTGAACGAGCAGTGCAATTTAAACTTTACCCGAACACGAATGGTAAGTTTGTCATTGCAAAAAACCTTTAACAATATTAGCATTTAAAATAAATTAAAATATTATTTTTTGGAACCGTTTTAATTGATTTTTCTTTTTGTTAAAGAAATTTAGACCAAAAATCTTTTTTAAGGGATTACGAACTATATTCTTTGAAGCTGATCGGTATTCAAACCGTTGATATACACAAAATATTTTTTAAGAACAGGACGGTTTCATAAAATATTTCTTTAAGGACTATCAAGGAGTGGGTTTACAAAAACATATTTTTTAAATGTTTCTCTAAATATGTATCATGTCGTGGATCTTTAAAACTTTTTGATACCCTACGCAACTATGTGGTCAGGTTATTATAGCTTTGTGCAGCCCCAAAAGTTTGTAACGCCGCCAAATGTTGGTCCTAGACCCACCTTTGAGTATACCGATCGTCATATCTCGACTAGCTGAGTCAATCTAGACATGTGTGTCCGTCCGTCTGTCCATTATAATTTGTAAACACGATACAGGCCACAGCTATGGACCGAACTTCACGAAATTTTTCATGTAGGGTTCTGGCCAATGAAGACCCCTATTGTTTTTGGTAAAGATCGTCAAGGAAAACGCCTACAATTTTCGGTGACGATCAGATAATAATATTGTGATGAAGTGGACCGAAAACGTAATTTTTTTGTGTTTTTTCGAGTCGATCTATATGCTCCAATGGGAAAAAGAACATCTCAACACAAGGGAAGGGAATCTGGACGAGTAATTAGAAGGGCTGTACTGAACATTAGTAATAATTGTCGGCCTCTAGTTGGTCCAGATGGTTCAAATATCGCAAAGTTAGTTTTCCGTGGAAGTTGTGTAGGGTATCATATGGTCGGCCCCGTCCAATTATACTGCTCCGCTCACTGGTCATTTTTATAAACAATTTTTCAGGATTTATCAAAGCGTGCATTTTTTAGGAACATTTTTC